GGAGGTCTGTGGCTTGACTCGCTGCTTCTTGCCTGGCTTGAACATGATGAAATGGCCGATAGCTGTGATGAGCTAGAATTAAGCGGAGTGCATAATGTTGGTGATGAAGACCCAGACACCGACCAATCACTACTCAGTGGTGACGAAGTTGGAATGACTTGAAAATCCAATGTAACTGTCTTGGTTTCTGAGAAACAAGCAAAAAACCAAACAAAAAAAAGAATTACGCCACATAACTAATAAGCTATATCAGAGTCACTGCAGACATTTGGCCACAAGTGTACTTAACTCTCCTTATATTAGCCATATTTGAAAGGTTTAAAGGTGCATTATGTAGTTTTAGAAAAAAGAAAGTCCACAACCGAATAAACAAGAGACTATAACAAGCGAATGCCACACTAAATTAACCATACATTACCTAATTTGAATGCATCCATGAGTTTTCTGCGCTGGATAACAGGTAACAGATCAGTGATGTCTTCCTGTTGTACATATTTTAAGTCTTCTCTTGACTCTAAGCCAGAGCTCTGAAGTTTCGATATTATTTGCCACTGGGTCTCTTCAGACAGATTTGGCAAGGTCTTGCAGATGATTTGATTTCTTCACTCATGTTCGCGATCATTCAGGACTAGAGGGCAAGAATGGTGAAGAATTATCAGTGGCATGCCATGGACAGTGTACTCAGGCAAGGGATAGTAATTTAGCAGATTCTCCTGGTTAATACAACAGTAGCTTCTTTGCATCAGTGTGAGGCTGTAAACACCCATGTCAGGAATTCGTAGGGCATGATACTTTTCAGCAATAAAATATACTGCTGAATCTTTATGAACAAGAACCACTTTGATTTTTGCAGTAACAAGCCCCTCATCATTATCATCAATCACAATGTGCATGTTCTTTCTGTATTTTGTCCCCTTCACAGTCACTTCATTGGCTATCAGAGTGTTTGTGGACTGAAAATTGTGATGTGCAACTGCTTCTATGATTACATCATTGTAGTCATCTGAGAAAAACTGTGTGCCCCTCTCCACTGAAACACCTGGAGGGAAGAAGGTACCAGCACTCAGAAAGGCCTGTAGAAGCTGATGTCTCTCTGCAAGAGTAGAACATGGATTCTTAAAATTGAGCAATTTTCTCAAACACTGCTTAAAATATGTGTTTTTGCTCTCAAATCTTAAAGTCCATAGGCGAATAAGTGGCCCAAACTGGATAATGAGCTCAGGATAATGTCTGACATAATGATGTTTGGGCTTCAGTGGTTTGTCAGGAAAGGTTTGCATTCGGCAATGCAAATATTCATCAATCAGAACTCTTAGGTAGGCTATCTGGCCATTTGAAATTGCAGGTGCACAACTGAGGTCCACAACTTCTCTAAGTTGCAAAACCAACTGCCATACTTTGTTGTCACCTGGATTTTTTACTTTGTCTCCGATCAAAACGGGCAACATTCTCAGCAAACACCAATTCTGCGCAGCATGTCCCCCGAGTTTTCCACCCTCTGGATTAACCTCACACGGTTTGTCATTAGCATCCCTACCGAGATACTTGAACTGATCTATTCTTCGATTCAACTCAAGATAGCTAAACATTTTATCCACCTTAACAAGATGGTTCATGTACAGTGCTAGATCAGAGGATACAATACCTTCAAAAAGATCGTGGCCAAGACATGGAGGCAACCCTGGCTGACATACATGGAAGTATTTGAGAGTGTTAAACACAGAGTCAAATTTAACACCTCCACTAGATGTAGACTGTCCTTCACTGCTCTGAACATGACAACTGTATGACTGCACTGAGCGTTTTGTGCTCTGGACAAGAGGATCTGCATGGAATGCCTCTCT